TGGCTTCAGCTCTGATCTCGATTGGTGCAGCCCGCCTTCTAGGTTGGGGCCCAGGGGATGAGGATTGTCGTTGGTTAGAGACGCTGAGAGATATGGCCCAGAATAGAAGTCAGTGGTGCGAATGCTGTTCGGTCGGTCTGTCGGAATCCCGTGCCCCGTAAAAATAACAAAGTGTACGGTTAAACACACAAAAAATGTTATCCCAGTTATCTATTTTCCCGAATTTAACTATTTCACCCTCTTTCCACCTTGCTCTGTACCCGAATCCACCTGTCCCCCATTATTGCTATTGTAAATATTGTTGCGGCGTTGGCATCATGCNATGCTTGTTCACAAGCCACTGTAAAAAATATAGATATCTATATAATGATGGTGAAAACTGGAAGTAAAAAGCTTCATACTGATGCATTTAGATTTCACTAGACAGTATGTATATAATCCGGTTTTATTAGCATCGTTTCAAAATAGTAGTAGGGTTCGTTGAAAGAATGTGTACAAATGTAAGCACTCTGAAATCTCTTGCTGGAATAAAGTGTGCATCACAAGTAATTCAGATGGTGGCATACTTTTCTGTATAGATACGACCTTGATCCACGGTGGTCACTCGACACAATCTACTCAGTATGGTCACCACAGAAGCTGGGGCTGGTTTTGGTGTATCAGTCTCAGTGCTTGTGTTAGATTCCGGAAATTCCCCCTCCAATTCGTCTATGTACTCGAAATCCGAATCCGTATTAGCTGTGCATGGGAAAGTCAAGGGACCGATCACTGGGTCTGAGTGTAACTTGCAACTGGTATCTGGAGGAACAACCAGATCGATCAAAAAACTGGCCAATTCGAGCTCCGGCCATGCTGCAGAACGTTCAAACAATGCGTGCAGTCTGGACTCTACCGTGTCATCAGGTAGATCCTCTGATCGTAGCAGGGATATTGTACGAAACAAAGGATGGTTACGATCAGCATTGGGTCGACCCCTTGCAGAAAAATTGGTGTCCATAGATGTTCCCGCAGTACCACAGAACGCTCGGCCGGCACACGTTAGATGCTTTCTTAGCTTTGGACGCAACCCAGATGGAACGGTAGCTTTCCAAACTGCTTTGAAATCATTGAGATCAAAGCTGTTAGTGACAGAAAGTAACTGCTCTCCGACCAGCTGACAAATTTTTGAGCTGCGAGGGAAGACGCTCAGATCGCTGGAACTTGTGCAGGTTGGTGTATTCCTTGGATGGAAATATATTCCGATTATCTGTTTCAAAACTGAAGGCTCGTGTTGATCTTTGAGATTTTCTATCACCTTCCTAATCGAGAATCCAGTTTTACGCCAATCCCACGCACATTCGTCTGCAAGGAAAAATATGTCACGAATCACCTATAAAAGCAGAAAAAATATTGTACAAACGATTACGTTCACGAAAAATACGCTGTTATTGGGCACTGCTTCCACATCTAAACGAGGATAGTCTCATACGCAAGATAGAGACTAAGTAATATCTTTAGACCTCACACCAACTTTCGTTAACTAGAAACGGTTTCATTAAAATTCATTAGCATAACACTGAGGTACTCGCGAGCAATGGATAAGAAACCTTAAGTCACTTGAATACCTATTCGATCTCCCATTTGCGAAAGCATTTAGCAAGCACTGCATCAAAATTCAAAACACCACTTATGGATAAACGCGTTCATTACATACACCAGCTGATTACTGCCCTTGGAACGAAAGATTAGTGCCCCTCAAGAAAGAAATTCGCAGTGTAAGATCACTAAACTGAAATCAAAGGGCTCCCAAAGTACTGAATAGTTGGGGATCATCAGCAATACGATATTGTTGATATGAATGTATTACGAGAAGACTGTTATTTATGAGCAGTCTCCAAACCATGTGCGTTCTTATGTCAAAACAAAGAAGTGATAAACAATAAATAGCTTAACTCTACATTTCCACATAAAAATTTATAAAGACGTGGTTCGTCTAATTCGGTATAAATATTTGATCCTCAAGTTGCTCAGTCAACATCATTTTACTTGAAAAACAGATAACACGAAACTTAACTGACAGAACTTGTGATGGTACGGCAGCTTCGATGTCGTTTGACCTAAGACCAAATCTATCCTTAGGTGATCTTATGTGACTTGCCACTTCACTTAGGTTGCCGATAATTGAATGAACAGATGGTCTTTGTAACTATGGTGTTTACTCCTTCTGTCATCCATCAAACCATTGTGCGTGCGCTAAAAAGGAAGCTTAAGTAACGTGCAGAAGACAGTCTAGTCTTAGTTAATACTGCGGTACATGTGGAGATTTTTCATGGAAGAACAAGGTAAACTCTGGTTGGGTCTTAATGGACTTGTGAAGATGCGTAAATGAGTTTTAATAAGTCAATTTCATCACACATACACGGACTTTTCAGCTACGTAAATTCAAAGAATAAGCTAACCGCGGGCAGATGTGTAAAATGACAAGCATAGTTATGCGAATCAAATGATAATACTTACTTGAATAAGGTAATCTGGATCAACAAGCCTCATAAAGCCTTGAACCTCAAATATCTTGAGACGTGCAAATGCATAATTCAATTCATTTGTACTGCAAGGGAACTCCGTGGTCAAGTCAAGACGTGTGAGGTTCGCAGATCGCATCTGATTATCACAGATTTCACTGTTTTCTTCACAGTCATCCTCATCAAGAGGGCCATGATACTTAGATGACAACATCCTCTGTTTTAATAGACGGAGTGAGGGAGCAATGCAAGGATGTAGCTCCAGATATGATGCTTTCAGCGCTTGAACTACTACCGACTGAGATTCTTCGCTATCCGGTGGTTTTTCAGTGAGGGTAGAGCCATTTGGAATGAGAAGTAGTGTATTGGACGTCTCTGTTTCTACTACAGAATACGTTCGTTCAGTGGCACATGCATATACACGTCCCGAAGAAGACTTTCCCGGTTCATCTTTTAGCTCGATAACTCTAGATGAGTTAGGGTCTGAAATCTCGTCGGCCAAAACAGGGTCCACTTCGAACAGTTTGTACTCGTCGGACAGCAAATTCTCAGTAAACTCAATTGGTCGAACAAATGCTGACAAGGATGGGTCCAGTTTTGCACAATCAAATAAAGCCATCATAGTGCCCAGCGTCCGAGGTTTAGTCATTTTGAGCACAGAAGCACAAGTTTATGGTCGGCGGAAGAATTCAGCGATAGATCTGTGGAGAGTTTTAATTGGGGAAAATGGAAAAGATTAAAAATGTATCATAAATTTTGTTGTAAAAACACACTTATGCCAAGTGAGTGTTGGAGAGTTCTCTCAGCTGGAAGTGTTGTTTGCAGATATGTTGTGGCCAAGCTGGGCAAACTCATCAATGGAACTGCCCTACTGATGCCGCCTAATCTGGGTACGAAACATGTGCAGCCAACACTTCTAGTTCGGAGAACCCTCCAACACTAAAATCCATATCCCAAGCTACACTGATCCAGCACCGTATTTGATGATGATGACGGCGACGAAAATGATGAAGGCGATCAAGCTCCCGAGGTACTTAAAGCTGTCAACTACTTCCAGCTGATCATAGTGCAGGCACAGGCTTCTGCCAATCTAGAACAATCACCTTGCACTTTGATGGTGTAAAGTACATACCGTACCCTTTGGTAGACGGTTCTGCCGTTATCCTGGTCAGCACTACCACCTTGCAATCATGTGTGGTATGGAGCTTCATCCCGCTCTCCTATTCGTGATCGGGTTCAACGTAAGGCCATTTGTTATCAATCGATCCGTCCCTAACATGGAACTTAGTCATCGTCGGTTAGTTGCTCCTTTATTCTGATTCTATTGATATTGCTTTGGATTTTGCTCTAGCGAAATTGCCTCTTCTGTCCCTCTTCATCTTGTTCTTTCTCGTTGGTCAAATACACAAGCGGCTAGCCACCTATTTCAAGTGACTATCCCCGAGTGTTGCGTTTCTAACTTTGAATCATCTTTCTCCCAAGAACAGCATAATTGTGAAACACTCTCCCCCTTTCAGTATTTCCTCCAACTTACAACATCCTTGCCGTTAAAAGCAGAATCAACAAGCTGGTTCTAGTTTGAAGAATCCCACATACAATATATGCGTGGATTATGAAGTTCACCCCTTTTACTGTATTCCCTTACGAAGAATAAAAAAATACCTGGATGTCACCATCGCAAAGCGGTTTAGAACTAAAGGCTTTGGACGAGAACCCTAATCGTGCTCCTGCTTAGTGGCTGGACACCCTGGCAGTACCCGTCGATCAAACTCAAATGCATATACCAAATTAAAATAATTCTATGATGCATCCGTCGTCGCACAGGATAATCAGGACCGCGCTGCCTATTGCATCGAGCGGGGTGGGTAGTGATAAGTGGGCTATTGCTCAGATATCCCAACCTTTGTTTAACTCTTTATCTTCTGCACCTAACCCTCTCCCTTTGCCCCTTCTTCCAACCTGTGAAATTTCCTCATAAAACTTGTTCGTCACTTGTCAAAGTTTGTCGCCAAGTAGCCCGATAACTAGTTTACCACAAAATAGATTGCTGATTCTGAAGCCTCGTCAAACACTGAATCTGGGGGCCTTCAACATGAAGACTCTGATGCAGGTAGGTCAAAAAGCGTGTCTGGCGCGTACAATGGACTCTTTGAGGATCGATGTCTGCTGCGTATCGGAGACTCGAATCCAGGATTCTAGCACTAAAAGCCACCTAAGTGCACCGGGGTTGTCTTCGAGGTTCTTCCTCCGCACGTCAGGGGATGACGAAGCCCTTTCAGTAAGCCAGCGTGGCGTGGGCATTGTACTCAATAATACAGCCAAAGCCACACTCGATTGGATCCCCGTCATGTGCTATGCGGCTCCAAAGGTCTATCAGCGTCCAGAAGAGAAGCAACACCAAAAGGTGTTCATCATTTCAGCGCATGTACCGACAAACTGCAGTTTTGCAGCACAAAAGGACGAGTTTTATAATAAACTCACCGAACTTATTCGGTTGAGCCGATGCTCCGATATGGTTCTTCTCTCATGTGATTTTAACGCACAATTTGGAAAACTGAGTGCATCGAAAGCTTGCCTAGACGGTTGTTGTGCTGTGCCCTGCCGACGAACAGATAATGGCGATCGACTTCTTCAGATCTGCGCAGATCATGATCTGTTACTATCCAGCACAGCTCTCAAAGGACAGCGCTCAAATTCAACTGACACACTAACTCAGATCGACCACATAGCAGTAAGTTACCGTTGGCGTGGCTCAGAACAAAACTGCAGGTCCTAT